GAAACAATGTGATAGAAAAATTCGTTCCACACGAGCGTTATTCAGGTTATTGGAATTATATTTTTGCGAAAAGGTTGTCGCACAACTTTTGTGTTTTCAGAAGATTGACTGTACATACATACTACTTACAACCAAGATTTTGTCATTCGATGGAATTTCTTTTAACACTAGAAACCGACCAAAATTGAAAAATCAAAATGACCAATTTATAATTTTTGTTAGACATGGTGTATTTGAATAATTTTTAATAAATAAATAAAAGTTTATGTACTCTTCATTGTATTAAAAAATCCCTCTATTTTTTTTTTTTTTTTTTTTTTTTTTTGGATTTCAATGTCTACGATGTCGAACAAATTTGATGTTTTGGTCGTCGATGTTTCTAGTATTAAAAGAAAGATGCTATAGAGAATTGCAATTTATCTCGACGTACAATGATATCTATGTTTCCTATATTAAACTATCGAATTATTAATTTATTCTTTCATCATTTTTTTTTTATTAATTTTGTTTATAAATATCACTACACGAGTGTAAAAATAAAATTCGTACACCAAGAAACTTTCACTCGAGAGAGAAAGGGAACTGTTTATAAACAGGATTAAACGGCCAATTCGATGTTTCAACGCACCAACCGTATACTAATAGCAAAACAATAACAAGGTAGCGATGATTCGAAGATACAAATTTATGCGGCGTCCACACTGAGAACAAAAGTTTTACATCGCATTACACTTCGCCAGCGAATTCGTGGTGGAATTCAGAACGATCGCGCAATGTTGCTAACAATGAGCACGCTTCAAGTTTTGCGAGCAGATTCTTTGGAAATTTCAAACGTCGGCAATTCCGAAGAAATCGCTGACGCCTGATCGCAGTTCGCCAAGGCCTTCGATACGTTCCAGTTTGCAAACAGATTTTTTTTTTTTTTTTTTTTCGAGATCTCGAAAAAAAGCTCGCTCTGTCATCCGATCATAGTGTGAACGCGGCATTCCGGTTTGATAACACCGCGATCTCTTCCGTAAATCCAGCAGTGATTCTTCGCAGCATCGTAGATTAGATAGCGGATGATTGACGGCTGGATCGTTGATCCAAGAAAATCAACTCCTCTTCTGAGATACACTCTGGTCCATCGTAATGGGCCCTTCATAAATTTGTTTTTCCACTTCGACCGATTTCAAGTAAAACACGGGTCGCTGTAATCTATTTATCATCCTTGTTAGAAGGGATATCCTTCTTAATCCGAGTCAAGACGTCGAGAGACTTTGATTTCGATTTGATAATTTATTTCGCTCGACAACTGGATCAATCGAAGAGAGTAAGATTCAACGTCGATGATCCTAACAGTGACTCGTGGACTCGATTATTGAACTGCTTTGGAAACTCTTGATGAGACTTGCTTCGATAGAGTTTTAAGTTTATACCGAGAATTAATAATTTTACTATTGACTACTCTCAATAGTTGTTGAACGTGAATTGTTAATTTCAGTGATCTCGGTTTTTTTTTTTTTTTTTTTTTT